TTCGACGTGAAGCAGAGAAGAAGAATCGATTGAGATTTGAATTGAAAAGCATGTCGTTTCGTGAGAAGATGCCGACGAGCCCCAATTCACCTCTGACTAGAAGACGGCGTTCGAGCTGGTCCGGCTCTTGGCTCAACCATCCTGCTACGTCTTTCAAGCAAGTAGTCTCCGCCGTTATCCAGGCTCAGTCCCCTAGATCCAGGTCCAAATCCCTAACCCCTGATTTCTCCGACATCGACCGGACACTCTCCTTGTCCGATTCTCTCCTCCTCAAGATCCTCCAAAAGCTTCCACAATCACAGAACGACGATTTGTCTCTCGTCTGTAAACGCTGGTTGGCTCTCCAGGGACGACGTCTAATGACTCTCAAGCTTTACGATTGGGATTTTCTCTTGTCAGGTAAGCTTCTCTCCAGGTTCCCCAAGCTCACGGATCTTGATTTGGGGACCGCCTGTATCAATCCGACTCGAAACTCGGGTATTTTGGTCTGTCACAAGTCGATTTCGTTTCATATATCTTCCGATTCGTCGAATTCGGATTTTGTTGAGGAGAATATTTTGCAGAGTGAAATGATTGATAGAGGGCTTAGGGTATTAGGAAGAGGGAGTTGCGATTTACTCAAACTCGTTGTGATTAATGCTACTGAACTGGGGTTACTTGGTTTAGCTGAAGACTGCTCGGATTTGCGAGAGCTAGAATTGCACAAATGTAGTGATAATCTCTTGCGTGGCATCGCTGCGTGTGAGAATCTGAGAGCCTTGAGATTGGTTGCTAGCGTAGACGGTCTGTATAATTCTTCGGTTTCCGATATAGGTTTAACCATCTTAGCACAAGGGTGTAAGAGACTAGTGAAGCTTGAGCTTAGTGGTTGTGAAGGTAGCTTTGATGGGGTTAAAGCGATTGGGCAATGTTGTGAAGTGCTTGATGAGCTGACCATTTGTGACCATAGAATGGATGATGGTTGGATAGCTGCGCTTTCCTACTTTGACAAGTTGAAGACATTGAGAATTTCGTCATGCAGAAAGATAGATCCTAGTCCTGGACCAGAAAAGTTGCTGGGATCTTGTCCAGCTCTGGAGAGTTTGCAACTCCAGAGGTCTTGTTTGAACGACAAGGACGGGTTGAGAGCATTGTTTAAGGTCTGTGATGGAGCAAAAAAGTTTAATATTCAGGATTGCTGGGGACTGGATGATGATTCTTTCAGCTTGGCCAAGGCTTTCAGGTAATTGGCTTTAGATCATTTCCATATGTTACCCTTCAATTATTGTTATTCATGGGTTGATGTTATTCGAATGGGTGCTTTAAAGCGCAGAGGAGACATAGTTTTTTTTGTTTTGATCCACTTAGCTTCTCCGAGGTAGTAACCTGTAGGTATCTTTCTTGTTTTCTTGCAGGAGGGTGAAGTATCTTTCTTTGGAAGGATGCTCAATCTTAACAACAAGCGGTTTAGAGTCGGTAATTCTACGCTGGGAAGAGCTTGAGAGCATGAGTGTAGTGTCATGTAAGAACATAAAAGATAGCGAAATTTCAGCGGCGCTCTCGTCTTTGTTCTCTCTTCTCAAAGAACTGAAGTGGAGACCAGACACAAGGTCTCATCTCTCATCGAGTCTCGAAGGTGCCGGAATTGGAAAGAGAGGCAGCAAATTCTTCAAGAAGAGATGATGCATTGAACGTATCTCATGTATGTCCCCTGAAAACTCTTTGGTATTAGACAACAAAGTCTTAGTTATATATATCTAATACTTGGGGGCATTATTATTACTCTGTTGTAAAATCTGCCTTTTGATGACAAATTTGTAGCCAATGTTCAAAACTCTTATGTATTACAATGCTCTGTTGTTATGTATGATAGTAATAAAGCTCTTGTCGTCCATTACAATTTTTTTTTTTTTTGCTTTTGATTAAACTATGAGTAAATTAAAAAGCTAACAGAAAAACTAAAGAATTTACAAGATCCAGTTTATCATCGAAAAGAGAGATTCAAGAAATTTGTTAGGGTTATTATTAGTTTCGATTTTTAGAGAAAACAAGTCTGAAAAAGTCAAAACATTCAAAACAAAAGAACCTTCTTCGTCTTTGTCTGGTATTTTGGAGAGTTCTCATGGCTTCGTCACTTCGATAAGCTCTCATGACCATGTCTTGCTCAACTTCTTCTTCTCTAAACATCAAGTCTGACACGTCATCTTCGCCGTAGAAGATACCTCTCTTTCCTCCGCCTGCTTCGACTAAACTCTTCCGTAGACATGGCAATGATGCAGAATAAATTCGTGATTCCGCCGTCAAGAAAGGCAAGTCACCGTCGGGAATCGAACGAGCATCAGCTCTTCCGATCATCTTGATGTGTTATCTGAAGACAACGCAAAGGGCAAAGACTTTGCGTACCTAATTTCGTAGTTATCGTTACTTATAAGAAAAAGTTTAGTATTTTGCTATTTTTAAATAGGGACTAGGAAATTTAATAAGATATCTTATGTAAAACGTTTCACGAATCTTTCAAGATTTTTATTTTTATATTTATCCAAAAGAAAGAATATTAAGTAAAATCAAATGGATAAGAAGCTACGAATATTTCAATTTTAGATATTTTTTTGGCGATATATAGTTATATACTACTAATCAACTCTTTAAAAACTTAGGCTCCGTGTGGGTGGATGAAAAAATCAAATGTAATGAATAAAGAAGAATTGACTAGAGAAATTTTGAGAAATTAGTATATTATCCACGTCCTGCGTGGGATTTTATTTGTAGATAATGATCTGTAAAGAAAATAAAAGATAGCCTTCACCGAGAAGATTGAAATTCAAAAAAAATTATCAAATTCTAATAAACCTCTATACATATACACTTTACTTATTACATAAGCATAAACCCTTTCAAATACACATAAAATAATTCAAACAATTTATACATTTACCAAATCAAGGGTTTGTATGCGTCTAGTGTGGGCAATAAGATTTTGATTTATGCATGAAAACATGGATTTATAATAAAAAAAACTTATGACTGTGGGTTTGATATAAATAAGTTTTGCTATTTTTCTTTATAAATTAAACTTATTAAATTAAGATATTAAACTCGTTTATAGAAAAAATATTTAACAAAAACACGTTTTAAACTTTTATTAAATTAAGATATTAAGTTCTAATACATAAATCTAAATGTTTACATAAATTATTAATCTTTTTATTGTATATATGTCTACATTTAACAATTATCTGAAGTACATATACCATTTATATTTTTAGAAAATTAAAAATTCATTAAATCAATATGTGAGAACAACAAARTAAAAACATACTCAAAAATACATTAATTCTTTTTTTTCAATTAAAAGAAACTAAACCCTAAAAGTGAGGAGCGTTAACCTTAAATCAGTCATAACCCTAACAAACTATATTGACGTCGCATTTATCCTTCTCATATAAATTTATACCAGCATTTATATTATATGATGGCCTATAAATATTTTAAATTGATTTAGATTAATCCTTAGTTTTCATAAAAGTAAGTTTTCAATCATATTTTTATAATTTATGTATATAACATTTATATTTCTAGCAAATTAAAAATTCATCAAAAATAATTAATTTTTTTGAAACTAAAAGAAACTAAATCCTAAGATTGGGGACTTTTAATCCTAAAGAAGACTTAACCCTAACAAACTAAACAAAAATGTGGTTCAATTCAGCGCACCTAGAGATATAGCTCGTATATGTAGTGTTCAGTTCGTTTTCGTGGATGTTTAATACTCTCGTTGCACTTATCCTTTTTATATAATTTTATATCAACAATTATATCATATGATGGCCTATAACTATTTTAAATTGATTTCGATTAGTACTTAGTTTTCATAAAAGTAAGTTTTCAATCATATTTTTTAGAATTTATACATATAGTCAAAACAAAAATTCATTAATACATAAAAATATATTCAGAACAAAAATCCAAGATAAACCTTAATAATTTATAAATTCATTAGAAAAGTGTAAATTCAATCCCTAATTTGTAGTTATTAGCTAACATGTAATCCAATTGTCCAAATTCACATCAAAATTCAAACACATACAACCAATTTTAACTATGATAATTTATTTGGCCAAGCAAACAATTTGATATATTTCTCCGACGTTTTCTCTACAAAATATAAATGATAAGAGCAAAAAAATTGGGATCAAAGTTTTTCCTAAAAAAAAAATCATTCAAAGTAGTTGGCCTCTATTCTTGTTAGATCAGCTCCAACAGGATAAACTACAAATTTATGTAGACATTAATAAAACACGATGAAAGTCAAATTATCATAAAGCACCTGACCATCCTTATAATAAAAAAATGATCTAACATGTTACAATGAATCGTAGTAACGAACACTGAGGGTACAAAAAGTAACACATGATTGTTGCTAAAAAGAAACATATATATTACATAGATAATTCTTCTCAACACGACCAACATGCATCCAGTGATTAACGTTTCTTCCACACGTATATAATATCCTATAAGGTACACTTTATCTATTGCTCTCAAAGCCAATAAATACTCATATAAAATTTTCACCATAATCTCTTCTTCCACATATACTTTATTGGAACCGTAATTTTCCTCATATTTTATTAATATATGTAAAAAGACTACTCCAAAATTTTTGCTTGCAAAGCTCTTCAACAAATGTGAATCTCCTTGATTCCTTTCTAATAAATTCTCTAGAACCTCCAATGCTCTGGCCGACCGTTGATCTCTCCATAGAATTTCCATG